TCTCTTTTATCACCTTGTATGAAAATGATTTGTTTATATGTTTGCTCTGTTACTATATTCTGAGCTCCTCAAGGGCAAGCCCTGATCTTACTGATGAATGATGGAGTTGGGGAGAAAGTAGGAATTAGCAGACAACACGCATTGCAGGAAAATGGGAGGGGCAGGAAGGTGGTCAAGTGTAGCCGGCAGAGCACAGGTTGGGAGCCTGGCAGGCTTGGGTTTGAATCCTGGTTTCATCACTTGAAACTTTGGGCGAGTTACATTAACTTCCCTCAACCTTAGATTCTATAAAATGTAGATAATAATAATACCCACCTCATAAAACTGTAAGAGATGTCAGGTCTGGTACAGAGCCTGACACAGAGTAGGCGCTTATAAATGATCACTGTTGTTACAACAGTGCTTTCCATTTTTAATTATGTCTTTGACCCTTTCACAAGTTATCTTCTGTATAGTTTCTGGTACAGTCTTAGAATAATTTTTTAAAAAATTATCATATAATAAAATTGACTTCTTTGGTACATAATTTATGAATTTTAACAACTGTATAGATTCATGTAACTGCCATTATAGTCAGGATACAAAGCTTCCATCACTTCTAGAAATTTTAAAAAATATTTTAAATTTATTTATTAAAAAAATTTTTTAAGACTGGATGTGGTGTCTCACGCCTTTAATCCCAGTACTTTGGGAGGTCAAAGTGGGCAGGGGTTCAAGACCAGTCTGGTCATCTTTGTGAGACCTTGTAGAGACAAGGTCTTAACAATTAAAAAAAAAAGGTTAGCTAGGCATGATGGTGCACGCCTGTAGTTCCAGCTACTTGGAAGACTGAGGTGGATGGATTGCCTGAGCCCAGCAGGTTGAGGCTGTGGTAGCTGTGGTTGTGCCACTGCACTCCAGCCTGGGTGACAGAATGAGACTCTGACTAAAAAAAAAAAAAAGTTTACTTTTTTTTTTTTTTTTAAGAGATGAGGTCTTGCTACATTGCCCAGGCCAGTCTCAAACTCCTGGGCTCAAATGGTCCTCCTACTTCAGTCACCTGAGTAGCTGGGACTACTGGCATGCCTAACTTCTAGAGATAGTTTTTTTTTTTTTTTAAACAATAACATTATTGAGATAAAATTCACCTTTTAAGGTGTAACTTCAGTAGTTTTTAGTATATTCAGAGTGTTATGCAACCATCACTATTATCTAATTTCAGAACATTTCATCATCACAAGAAAAAATCTCATATTCATTAGCAATCATTTTCCATTCCTGCCTGCTGGCCCCAAGCAACTACTAATCTACTTTTTGTCTGTATAGATTTACCTATTCTGGATATTTCACATAAATGGAATTATATGATATGTAACCTTTTGTTTTGGCTTCCTTCATTTAGCATAATGTTTTCAAGGCTCATCCAACATGGTTGGACATATATTAATTCTCACGAGTATATACCTAGGATTGAAATAGTGGGGTCATCTGGAAACTCTGTGTAAAATTTTAAGGAATGGCCAAACTGTTTTTAAAGTGGCTACACCATTTTACATTCCCACCTGTCATGTGTGAGGGTTTCAATTTCTCCACATTCTAGCCAACACTTGTTATTATCTATCTTTTTGTTTTAGCCATCCTAATGGGTGTAAAGTGCTACTGTCTCACCATTGTTTTTTTCTTCTTTTTTCTTTTTTGAGTTGGAATCTCACTCTGTTGCCCAGGCTAGCGTATAGTGGCCCGATCACAGTTCACTGCAGCTTTGAACTTCTAGGCTCAGGCAGTTCTTCTGCCTCAGCCTCCTGAGTAGCTAGGATTATAGGCATGCACTATCACACCTGGCTAATTTTTTTATTTTTTGTAGAACTGAGGTCTTGCTATATTGCTCAAGCTGGTCTTGAACTCCTGGCCTCAAGTCATCCTCCCACCTTGGCCTCCCAAAGTGATGAAATTATGGGCATGAGCCACCACGCCCAGCCCCAAATCCAAATTCTTTATTTTATTTGTGGATATCCAGTTGAATAAGCACCATTTGTTGAAAAGGACTATTCTTTCTCAATTGAAGTGCTTAGCACTGTTGTCGAAAATCAATTGGCTGTAAATATTAGGGTTTATTTCTGGATTCTCAGTTCTATTCCATTTATCTGTAGGTCTATCCTTATGTTAGTACCACACTGTTTTCATTACTGTAGCTTTGTAGTACATTTTGAAGTCTAGAAGTGTGAGTCTTCAACTTTGTTCCTATTTAAAAATTGTTTTTTGGGTAGAAGTCTCACTCTGCTTGGTTCAGGCAGTCCTTTTGCCTCAGCCTTCCAAGTAGCACCACAAGTGTTCACCACCCTGCCCAGTAACTTTTTAAAAAAAAGTTTATTGTAGAGATGAGGTCTCACCAAGTTGCCCAGGCTGGTCTCGAACCCCTGGACTCAGGCAATTCTCTCACCTCTGCTTCCCAAAGTGCTGTGATTATAGGCGTGAGCCACCGTGCCTGGCTGTTCTTATGTTTTTCAAGAGATTTTTGGCAATTCTGTGTCCCTTGTATTTATATATGAATTTTAGGACTATCTTGTCAATTTCTGCTAGAAAGGCAACTGAGATTTTGATAGAGATTATGCCAAGTCTATAGAACAGCTCAGAGAGTATTACTACTTTAGTAGTAATAAGTCTTTTTTTTTCTTTGTTTTGAGTCAGAGTCTTTTTTTTTCTTTTTTTTGAGTCAGAGTCTCACTGTGTTGTCCAGGCTGGAGTGCGGTGGCACGCTTACAACCACCACAGCCTTGACCTGCTGGGCTCAGGCGATCCTTCCACATCAGTCTTCCAATTTGCAGGGACTACAGGCATGCGCCACCATGCCCAGCTAATTTTTTGATTTATTGTAGAAATGAGGTCTTGCTAAGTTAGCCAGGCTGGTCTCGAACCCATGGGCTCAAGCAATCTTCTTACCTCAGCCTCTCAAAGTGGTATTAAGTCTTTTAATCTGTGAACATGGGATGTCTTTCCATTTATTTAGGTCTTTTCTCCCTCCCCCTTCTCTCCCTCCCTCCCTCCCTCCCTTCCTTCCTTCCTTCCTTGTCAGAATCTCACTGTCACCCAGGCTGGAGTGCAGTGGCATGCTCACGGCTACTGTAGTCTCGATCTGCTTGACTCAGGTGATCCTTCTGCCTCAGCCTTCCAAGCAGCTGCAACCATAGGAGTGTGCCACAACACCCAGCTAAATTTTTGATTTACTGTAGAGATAAAGTGTTGCCAAGTTGCCCAAGCTGGTCTTGAACCTCTGGGTTCAGGCAATCCTCTTACCTCTGTCTCCCAAAGTGCTGGGACTACAGGTGTGAGCCACCACACCTGGCCTAGTTTCTTTCCACAATATTTATGTGGTTTTTAGTGTGTGTCTTATACCTCTTCGTAAAATATTCCTTTTTATTTTTTATGCTCTAAGTGGAAGTGTTTTCTTCATTTCATTTTCAGGTTGTTCATTGCTAATGTGAAAAAGCACACTTGATTTTTTGTATATTGATCATGTATCCTGCTCAACAGAAACTTTTAATTTTACAGAGGAGCAGAAGAGAGTTTGGAAGTGTTTCCAAGAGGGTTATGAAGGGTTTCTATTGTGTGTCATCTGGTCAAATAGTGACAAAGCTACCATTGAGCACCTACCATGTTTTTGTTGTTGTTTTTTGAGTAGGAGGTTCACTCTGTCTCCCAGGCTGGAGTGCAGTGGCACACTCACTGCCACCCCAGCCTCGACCTGCTGGGCTCCAGTGATCCTTCTGCCTCAGCCTTCCAAGTAGCCGGAACTACAGGG